AAAAAAAAAAAAAAAAAAAGATTAAGGTGGTTGTCATCTGATGACTTCTGACCCCTCTTGGAATATAAGCCCTGTGGGAATTGAGTTCCATCTGGGATGAGTGCAGCAGGGGAGGCACCTTCTCCCTTTCTGCCCATCTGTGTCATAGGGAGTGTGGGAGGGGGATAAGGGTACTCCTGGGTTAAATTTGGGGCCCTGGCCTCTAGGAGGGGCAGAGAGGCAGGGTAGAATGCCCCCACCCTGTCCTGTTTTACCTTTCCTTAAGGACCTGCCCGCTTCATCCCACCTCAGAGCCTCATGGGTGTTCTGAGCCCACACCCAAAGTCTTCCATCTCAAAGGAAGAGGTGGAAGGGCTTTTGCTTGTTTTGGGACAGAATCTCACTATGTTACCCTTGGTAGACTGCCATGGCATCACAGCTCACAGCAACTTCAAACTCTTGGGCTTAGCGATCTTGCCTCAGCCTCAGTAGCTGGGACTACAGGCACCCACCACAACATCTGGCTATTTTTTGGTTGTAGTTGTCATTGTTGTTTGGCAGGCCCAGGCTGGGTTCTAACTTACCAGCTCCAGTGTATGTGGCTGGTTCCCTAGCCGCTGAGCTACAGGCACCAAGCCAGTGGGAGGTTTTAATGCACATACTAGTTGACACTACGCTATGTGTGGCTGATAGGCTTCCATAGTGTTGGTTAATTTTCAAGGGGAAGGACTCACCAGGAGACCTATATCCAAGTCCTGCATGGCAGCTCCCACTCTGCTGGAATGTGGCCAGGAGAGCTGGACTGCATTGGTATTGTCCATACTGATGTTGACTATCCACAGGGCGTCGGCTGGGCTGGGCTTGAGCTACAACTTCACCCACCTGGACAGGTATCTGGACCTTCTGAGGGAAAACGAACTCTACCCAGGTGAGTGGCTAGCTATCCCCTCTCAGCCAGGTGTCCTCAAACTATGGCCCACAGGCTACATGCGGCCCACCTGGAACATTTATCTGGCCTGCTGGGTGTTTCTGCCACCGCTGCCTGTCCTGCTTAGCAGCCGACTCGTCCCGGGGCCCGCAGTCCGGCCCTCCAACAGTCTGAGGAACAGTGAACTGGCCCCCTGTTTAAAAAGTTTGAGGACCCCTGCTCTCAGCCCATCTGCACCCCTCCCACTACCAAGCTCCTCCGGGTCCTTGCTGGTAGTTTGCTTAGGACTGGCCTTGGTGCTGGTCTTCTGGGGCAGGACATGGGGGTGGCAATGGGTGGTGGGCAGCAGGGCTGCCACCCTCCTGTGTTGTAGGGTTCGAGCTGATGGGCAGCCCCTCAGGACTCTTCACTGACTTTGAGGACAAGCAGCAGGTGTTTGCATGGAAGGATCTGGTTTCTCTTCTGGCCAGGAGATACATCGGTGGGCAGGGTGTAGGCCTTGGGGATGGGTGGATAATCCTAGGCAGGCTGTCATCACTCAGGTCACCCCATGGGACTTCTTTCTTAGGTCCCTTTGAGCCAGAGCTCCTGATGGCAGGGAGGATAGACAGGGTAGGGAGGGCTAGGATCAAAGCAGAGGCCCTTCCTCATGCCCACTGTGGGACTCCCTGGAAGTTGCTAGACATTCTGGTGACCACAGGGATGCTCTTTAGGGAGGTATGGACTCGCTTACGTTTCCAACTGGAACTTCGAGACATGGAATGAGCCAGACCACCACGACTTTGACAACGTCTCCATGACCACTCAAGGTGTGCAGTTCTTCTTGGGTCCTATCAAGCTGAAAGGGGCAGAGGAGGGCAGGAGGGAAGCACCGCACCCACTGGTCCCAAAGGGCTTGCATGCATACATGGCCCTTCCTGCATAGGCTTCCTGAACTACTATGATGCCTGCTCTGAGGGTCTGCGGGCTGCCAGCCCTGTGCTGAAGCTGGGTGGCCCTGGGGACTCTTTCCATGCCCCTCCTGGATCTCCACTGTGCTGGAGCCTTCTGGGGCACTGCCATGGTGGCACTAACTTCTTCACTGGGGAGGTGGGTGTGCGACTGGACTACATCTCCCTCCACAAGAAGGTATGCTGCCCCTCCATTGGCCCAGGACCCTGCCTAACCCCATCCCTGTCCCTGCCTGGTGGTAGCAGTGGTGTGAATTGACCTTGGTGACCCCTGCAGGGTGCAGGCAGCTCCATAAACATTCTGGAGCAGGAGATGGCCACAGTGCAGATGATACAGCAGCTCTTCCCCGTGTTCTCAGACACCCCCATTTACAACGATGAGGCGGACCCACTAGTGGGCTGGTCACAGCCGCAGACGTGGAGGGCCGATGTGACCTACGCAGCCATGGTTGTGAAGGTGGGCTGCACTCTGCCCTGCACTTCTTCCCCCAGAGCTACCCTCCTCCTGGGTGAAATGTAGGGATCAGTGAACACAGCAGCCGTGGTCCTAGCCGCCTGGTCCACCCCAGGTCATCGCCCAGCACCAGAACCTGCTGGTGGCCAATAGCAGCTCCTCCATCCGATATACGCTCCTAAGCAACGACAATGCCTTCTTGAGCTACCACCCGCACCCCTTCTCACAGCGTACACTCACAGCGCGCTTCCAGGTCAACAACACCTGCCCCCCCCACGTGCAGCTGGTGCGCAAGCCAGTGCTTACCGCCATGGGGCTGCTGGCTCTGCTGGGTGAGTGGGGGCCACCACAGACAGAGCCAGTGGGCCTGGCACACCCAGACAGGCAGGCAGGGATGTCTCCCAGGCTGGGGAGTGGGCCTTGAGGCAGGAGTGCAGGTGGGCTGCAGGCACTTTCTCTAGCTGTGCTGTTCCTGGCGCATGCCGGCTTCCTGCTCTGTGGGCTGCAGAGGTTGTGGTATGACCAGGCCGGGTGGGCAGAGGGGCTTCTCCAGAGGTGACAGCTGCCCCTCTGCAGATGGGGAGCAGCTCTGGGCCGAGGTGTCTCAGGCAGGCGCTGTTCTGGACAGCAACCACACGGTGGGTGTCCTGGCCAGTGCCCACAGCCAGGTGGGCCCTGTCAGTGCCTGGCGTGCCACAGTGCTGGTGTATGCAAGTGATGACACCCGCGCCCACATCAACCGTACCGTTGCAGTCACCCTGAGGCTGCACGGGGTGCCCCCCGGCCCAGGTGAGTAGGGTGGAGATCCTAGGGAGGTCTCTAGCTGCAGGCACTCTGAAGGGCGACCCAGTGAGGCCCCCACCTGTGTACCCACAGGGCTGGTATATGTCACCAACTACCTGGACAACCAGTTCTGCAGCCCCTACAGTGAGTGGCAGCGCGAGGGCCAGCCAGACTTCCCTTCTGCAGAGCAGTTCCAGCGCATGCGTGCAGCTGAGGTTTGCAAGGTGTATTAAGGTTGGGGTGTTGAGGATCACCAACCCTCTTCAAAGTCCCTGAGGATTTGCCTTTGTCCCCAGGACCCAGTGCGCACAGTACCACGCCCCTTCCCCACGGGAGGCCACCTGACCCTGCCCACCAAGCTCCCACTGCCCTCACTCCTATTGGTGCATGTGTGCGCACGGCCAGAGAAACCACCTGGCCAGGCAAGTGGTGCCTCCCCTGTCCCCTATCCCCGGGCCTGGACTTACCTCACCTCACCCCCTTTACCCTGACAAGGCCCCTCCTGACCCCAGGTCTCGCGGCTTCGTGCTCTGCCCCTGACCCGGGGGCAGCTGGTTCTGGTCTGGTCTGATGAGCACGTGGGCTCCAAGTGCGTGAGTGGGAGCCCCTACCCATTTGCACCCCAGCCCTTCTAGGCTGCATTGGCCCTGTGGACACTCCATGGTGGCAGCCAATCCCCTCCAGCCTCTCTGCTCCCTGTACCACATTGTATCCCTGTCACATCAACCCTGGCTAGAGGGCTAAGGGGCACCTGCAGGGACATTGAAGACAACAATTGTTCTCTTCCCTCTGCCCTGAAGTTCCAGGGAAGAGAGCCAGGGACACAGGGAAGGGTCTGCCCTACCCTGGCTTCAGTGGCCACTCTGGCCCCAGCCTTGGCCTTGACTCTGACCTCCCAGGTGCCTGTGGACATACGAGATCGAGTTCTCTCAGGATGGGGAGGCATATACTCCAGTGAGCAGGGAGCCATCAACCTTTAACCTCTTTGTGTTCAGCCCAGGTACAGCCACCCCTAGTGCCCTGGCCTTGGTGGTCCCCCTCTTGTACTTCCGAACAGTGCCAGGTGGTAGGACTGGGGCCTTTCAAAGTTTTGAGTCGGGGCTGTTGGACACAGGGTTCAGGTGGGCACATGCACCACAGCATGTGGGTGCCTTTGTGTCTCCAGACTCGGCTGCTGTCTCTGGCTCCTACCGAGTGCGAGCACTGGACTACTGGGCCCGGCCAGGCCCCTTCTCTGACCCTGTGCCATACCTGGAAGTCCCTGCCCCAGGAGGGCCACCAGCACCTGATGACCCATGAGCCTATGCTAACTGGTAACCTGGGGCAGCCAAGATGACGAACCTTTACTGATTGGCCAATGTGCCTGTGACCATCTGTCTCCAGCTCAGTCTGTCCTACCCTTTAAAGTGCCTTTGCACACAGCAGTGCTGGGCTGAGGCTCTGTGGGCCTCCAGGTGGGTATGAGGCTAGACCCTGAAATTGTAGCCTGGGGGGTACAGGCCAGCTAGAGCCAAGCCTCTTCCTTCCTCTCCCGTCCGGAGCCTGCCCCCAGCCTTGGCTGCTCACCCAGGGGCTCTGGCATAGTCCCTAGGAAGGGGCACATTCCTGTCCTTCGCTTTCTTGCTGCTCTGCAGAGTGGGGAGCTGAGGCTACATGGGAAAGGGGCTCCTTGCCCCCTCCCCTTGCTTCTTCCTCCTGTTCCTCTCCTCTGCTCCCTGCTCCTGCACCAGTAGAGGGTGGGATGGGGCATTCCTGCCCTGTCCAGACTGTGACCAACAGAAGAAAGGCCAGAAGTATCCACCGTGGCCTCTCGCCACCCCAGTGGGTCGTCATGGTTCCACATCTGGGCCCCAAAGAAAAAAGAGGGTCTGCCCAGAGCAGCATAATCTGGTGACTATAGAGATGGAGGAAGGCTGAGAAGCACTCCAAGGACATATGGAAAGGGGGCACAGCCAGCCTAGGGGCCCTGACCTCCTCCTACTGACTCTCTGCTCCTGCCCCCCTTTATCTATATGGGGAGCTTGTATCCCCTGTACACTTCAAGCCAACATGGGCCACCAGGTGTGGTTGAGAGATGTCACTTTGGCAGTCCTTCCCCTGAATTCCAGAGCCATAGCCCTCATCACATGGGGCCCCTGGGTCAGGCTCAGTTTTTTCCCCACCTCCTGGACCCCACATTAGTCTGGCTTAGGTGCCTGTAACAAGCACCACAGACCTGGTGGCTCAAACACCAGACACATTCTGCAGTTCTGGAGGCCTGAGGGGAAAGTGCAGGCAGAACTAGCTTCCCTGAGAAGCCAGGCTCGCTGTGCTCCTCTCCTGTGTGTCGTCCTCTGGTCTTTCTTTGCACATGTAACGACCTCTTCTCCTAAGGACACAGGCAGGCTGGATGGGGCCACCCTCATGACCTCATTGTAACTTAATCATCTTTGTAAAGATTCTCTCTGCAAATGCAGATTCATTCTGCGGTGCTAGGGGTTAGAGCCTCAATCTTGTGGGGACACAGTTAAGTATAGACAGGCCTTTGTGGTGGTTGGGATCTATCACCCAAAGAAAAATAGCTTCCCTTCTACCCAACAGTGGGAGCTAGAGGACCCTGTGGTCTGGGGTCATCTCAGTTTTCAGCTTCGTGGGAATGGGACTAGACTCACCTGCGGACACTACCCTTCTCAAACACAGCTGCCAAGCCAAGGCTTTGACCCTCCCCTCATTCCTGGATCTTTTGGCATAAAGAGCAGCAGACATTCAAAGTGTCCCCTCAGCTATGGAGTCATGTCATGAGCCCACTGCTAGAGGGTGGTGAGCTGGGCTCTTCCTTAGGAGGTGATGGGTGATCAGTGGGGAATTCCATGAGTCCCCACAGAGTGGGCTGGTGCCACTCTTAGCTGGAACAGCAAAGACAGATCTGAGCTGTGTGTCTCCTCTCCATGAGTACAGTAGCCCCTGATTGCTAGACAGCCATCAGGTTGCTGATGCGTCCCACATGGTCTTGCTTACGGGTTAGCTTTGGTTTTGGCTATGGCAGGTCTGGCTTCAAACTGCCATGAGCCAGGGAGGTCCACCTTGGTCAGCTATAAACAACCTCTCTCCCTGCCGCTGTGGCCACTTTGCCTCTGGGCCCATGGGACAGTCAAGAGGTGGCAGAAAGGGTCTGTCTTCATCATCCCCAGGGTGCTGGGCACCCTCTGGACAAAGACAGGTGTTTCTGCAGGGCTTGCCCTCCCCCATGCCTAGCCTATAAGCCCAAGGCCTACTTCTCTCCTACATCTCCTTGTCTATAAGCATCCTGTCTGGCCAGCTAGCCAACCTGGATACTGCCCATACAGAGCCAAGTGTGGGCTAACCATGCCCAGGGGTGGTGACTGGCAGCTGTGCCCTTCCAGGTGGCACAGTCAGCAGCAGGCGGGAAATAATGTCATGGAGCCTCAGAGAAAGAGTGGTGTGGGGGCTCGAGCTTCTGTCATGGGTTTTGCTTCCAGATGTGCTGGCCCAGACCTAGATAACAGATGTTCCTGGTGACTCTAGTGGACCAACGGGAGTGCAGTGTTAGACCTTCCCCAAGGCTATGCAATGGCCAGCCCCGAGCAGTTTAATAAGCAGAGAGTCAATTTTGACCAAGAAGGAAATGGCTTTCCTCTAGGATGCTGGGGGTCTGGG